TCCCCTTTCAATCAGATTGAAATTTAGGATCGAATAAAGTGTGATTGAGCAGCCTATTCGATAACTAATGTATTATTTGGGCACAATATACACAATACATAGGCTACACAACAACAGCCTAGCTGTTCTGTCTGCCCAGCGCTTCCACAGGGCCGCGCGCGGGTGTGTGTGTGTGTTTGTGTGTGTCAATACCTGGTCCATACCAGACACACTGCCAGTCTCCGTTCAGAATCGATTGGTTCACGGAAATTGGTGGTCTTGTTTTTAATATGTGGCTCCAGAATCGCTAGCAAAGCATCAAACTGTCCCGCTGACATTCTGAGGTAAATTTTGAATCGCTCAGGATAAATTCGCAACTTCTTGATAATGAACTCCTTCCTCTCGGCGCAATTTCAGGATTGGATGGATATTTTCTATTTCTTCTCTTTTCAATATGAGAGAGGGCAAAAATCATCATCACTGCTTGACGAATCCATTTGGTATTTTTGCGTTTTTTCCCGCAAAGGTTTAATAAATACGCAACGGACTCGGTGTGCAAGGTTTCTATGCGTGACGAATTTTTAGGCTGACGTACAGGAAAATACGCATACGAATATTTCGTGCTCAGTGTGCAATGGCCTTAAATATCGGGATAGCGTTTTCAACCGTGGAAATAGCTAATGCAGCAGAAAGATTTCAGAAGAGACGCTGAAGTTGCCTGCTTTCTCCTCGACAGGTTAGTCAATGTTACAGTCTGACTTAATTTTATTTTTTTGCCATTGCTTGGTTGTGTACTTTATTATATAGACAGTATAACATTTATAGGTAAAAAAGTTAAACAAGGTCTTTGATGAATAGCAGCTATTGACTACTTTACTCGCAGCTATTGTGAAGGAAGGTGCTAAAAACAAGGTTTGTAAGTTAATTCTTTATAACCTATAAATTCAGTAAGAATATAGAGATAATGATTGTAAGAAAATATTGTGATTTTGCTATGTGGATAAGATTGTACAGAGAATTAAAATGAATTTATACAGCTAGACACATAAATTGTACACATAAGTTAACACATAAGTTGCTGTTTTTTTTTTAAGTTACAAACCTGTTCACCCGGAGAAAAACTCGATGAAGTGTTACTACAAGACATCCTGTCATAGCATTTTTGGTACATAACGGCAACCGTAGATGCAATACGCACTTGAAAAAGCGAGGCGCTGGAGAGCAACATTCGTTTGAATGCAAAATACTATTTAACCACTAGATGGGGGTATTTCCGTGACAGAATTCACACACAGTGCTTAGGTTTCCCCTTTACTGTAATATTTTTTCCCCCCCTTTAAGGGAGTTATATTTTTCTGAGGTGTTTTGGTATGATTAAAAATATAGGATTTTTGGGAGCTGCAAGCCGTGGCATGGTTTGCCCAGGTAGAGGCACAGTTTGCGCTGTGAGACACCACTTTGGATGACATAAAGTACTACTACGTTGTAATTAATTCAGCGGCTCCACTAGATGGCGCCAATGTATCAAAAATGTACGATCCGGTTGCATTGCCAGCCCTAGGCAACTCGGCAGTCTCATGTCACACGTGACAGCCTGGCAGTCTGTGTTGGCTCCAGAATAGGTGATTTGCACCACACTGAGGGCTACAGACCTCAGTTTGCCAGTTTTCCCACTCAGGGAACCCCATTTCCAAGCAATGCCTTTCTCATTGGCTTGTGGAAGCTATATCTTTGGCATATGAATCAAGGGAGTGCAGGTTTATTCACGAATGCATGTTGCCATATGCTATTCTTTGTTGCTAATGTGGCTTCCTCACTTTGTGTGGGTGTTTCCTTGTGACGTGTCATTCTAGATGGCCGTCCTCTGGCTTTCAGGGCCTCATTGTAGTGTATTTGGCAATCGGGGAGCTGTCCATATCTCCCATAAGTGGATCTCGAACACAAGATGATGAAAGGTTACTATATAGAAAATCTCATCTTCCAGGCATTTGACGATCAATAATTTTCATTATTTTCTAACTTTATTAGGGCAGTTAATACAATTAAAACGTATAATTAAATATTGTGGCCTTTTTCCCTCTCCCTGCTCATTTACAGCCAGAAAATTCCTTGATGGCAAATTGTCGGCTGGTCAATGCTCTTGCTGTTGCTCTCCTATACTGGAGACGCAAGCAGAAAAAGAAGAGATCTATCTCCGCCATTTTTGTTCAACTCGCTTCCGGCGCTTTTCAACGGTGTAGTATGATATCTGCTGGGACGTCCTTAAAATGTACCTGTTGGTGACTTTTGGTTTGACGGCATCAGAGCGTGCGAGGCACCTTCTTTCGTTACTAGGTCTAGGACTAGTGATTGCAAAGCCCTGAGCTTATGGACCACATGCTGTGCTGACATTGGTAGGTGGAATATAGGTCCACATCGCCGAAAACCAAAACCACACCCCCCAAAATTCTGTCAATCTCATCTGGTCACCCTAGATGGAAGAGGCCTGTGGAGATATTAGGGCACAAGCAAATCAAGGATGGATACAGTAGCTATCCAAGGTGTTTTTTCCCACGATGCATGACTTGTGAAAATGTTTTCTGTGATGTTGATGAAATTCTCTGGTGGCCTGGCTAGATATAATTGAGAGGCATGATCAATAAATTAATTGATTCTGATGAATGCAGTAGGCTACATTTTTTATTTTATTTTTTAATTTTGCCCTGGCCTACTTATTAGCATAATACATATAGTTTTTGTTGGGTGGCAATTCATTGTTTTACACCTGAACTCCGCATTAAAGAACATGTATTTTCATTCATTTATTTGTGTAGCTATCTTCAGCTGAATTATCAAATGAACAGAGAACACTCTTTTTAATTTTGATGTTAATATGGAATTTATGTAAATGCATTCAACCCGGTATCACGACAAGACGTGAAATAATCATCACGTTGGTCCACTTTGGAAAACGTGTAGATGTCACGGTTTAACCCCCTCAAACGTGAAACTTAGACGTTTGCGTTAACACGTTCCAGTGGAGAGATACCCGGATGTTGACCTGTTCTGAGAGCAGTTACCAGAGTTTAGAGAAATTTACCAAATCGATTGAGAAAAACTGGAGGCCTAATGATAATGTTTGAACAGAATGATTCAATTTTGAGTCGGGTTTGCTGTGTTTATTTATTTATTATTATTATTATTATTTTTTACATAGGCTAGTATATTTAGCATAAGCGTTTTGCGTTTAGCGTAACATTTAGTGTTTTGAAATGCAGTTTGTATTTTTTTTTTTTTTGACAAAATGTGGTTTTGGTCAGAAAATATTTAGGTAACTTTGTGATGCGTATTGCTGTGTTAAGATTTTAGAAAAAATACCGATAAACGCTTGTTAGCAATTGTAATAAAAAAAACTGTAAAAGGAAAATGTTGAGTCATCAGCGTAATGCGTATTAAAGTCACAAGGGGGCACTAATGTCTCTCTCTCTCATTGCTGGCCTTGTCATCAGGCTACACTGTTTTTTCCAACTGCTTACACACGTTTTCAAAACTATATCCCCTTTCAAAACTTCGCACACAATTATCAAAACTGCACAAACAAAATGCAAAATGCCTCACATCTCCTTAAAATGTACTGCATTCAAAATGCCATAAAAAACATGTCAAAATGAAGCAATTGCATCAAATGGAAAACACTTCTTTCATAATATAGTACATTTTTGGATATACCTGTTGTCCTAAATCTAAAACTGTTTGGTTTTTCATAGGCTTATATTTCAATACAATGTTCTACAGTGAAAGTAATCTGCTGAGAGGGGTAAGTCACTGTAGGCTAAACACCAATGCAATGTAGAAACCTTAAACATATAACCAAAAGTATCTTTAGAATACAGTAAAGGGCACAATTGTATGTGTGGGGTATTACATGGGCATCCATCTAAAGGGCTATGAGTTCCTCTCAAATGGCACCTTGTAAAGTTGTTTCATTGTCAGGATGCGCTGTATGGTCAACAGGCTTTCAGCATTGATGTTGTTGCATGGTGTCATTATTCAAGATGCTCTTATCTCCCGAATCCTAATTGCATTGTTGGCCAAAACCATAATTGCAGTCTCTTGTACATCTGTGAGCGTCCTCGTCCTCCATGATGTCTTTGCCTTTCCACTCTGTAGGCCTACAGAATTCCAACGCAGTAGGCTATGTGTTCAGCATAGGAACTGAAACAACTTACAAAAAATGTAATACAGCATAACCAACTTCATCCATTCAATGCAGTGCAGTGAATGATGGCTTAGAGTTAGAGAACCAATTTGGCCACCAAAGCGCTTTACATTTTTGCCTCACATTCACCCATTCATTCACTCATTCATTCATAGTGTCAGCCATGCAAGGCGCCATCCAGCTCGTCGGGAGCAGCTGTATAATTTTGAGTTGTGTGTCGTGTGTAAAGGATGACAACTGTGTTGTAGTTGTGTTTAACCTTTGCTGCCTGTGTTAGTGTGTTTAGTGTTTAAAAAACACAAGTGCATCACTGTGTGTTTTAGTGAGCGTTTAGAGTTTTGCAAAAAGAGTGCATACGATTGCAAACAGTTTATTTAACTGTGATTTAATTGATAAATTTGTTTAGGCTATTGATAATTTGGTTCAGTGAATGGAGTTTAGTGTTTTAGCAATTCAGAAAAACGTAACATTATGTAGGCCTATATATTTGTCCAAATAAATAGGCTACATTTTACAAAATTGTTGTGGCCCATCGATCGATCCTACATTTTACCCAACTAGTTATAGGCTAGATAGCCAACAAATAAATCACACACATTTGTAATGCGTACAAGAAAATTAAAATAAATATAAACCGCCGAATGTGTATAAAAATTCCATGTATTTACTATATACAAAAAGGTTCCCATATATCACATGTCAATATCGCCATTCAACACCTCACGCGCGCTCCCGCACAGAGCCAGCCATAGATGAGCCAGCGGCCAAGCGCGCAGCTCGTGCAGTGCAGTTCTAAGCTCGTGCACTGTGAATCACGTCCTACGTCAGGCAGAGTCACACTTCCGACGCGTTCCGACGCACATCAGTGTAGGCTCTGGTAGACTATGGTTAATGGTTCCCCTCGCTTGGGTTGACGGCTTGTTTGTAGCTGAGCGCAAGCTTTTTCAATACATCAGCTCAAGGCAAAGGAATATTATTTGCTTTATAAACAAACTGTTATTTTATATCGTTCGCGTCGCGTTCATTTGGAAGCTCTGAATTAAATCGCTGTGAGCAAGGTGCAGATGAAGAGGATGCTGTGTGACGAAACATCGCAAACATCACGAGAGAGTCTCACTTCAGTACAGCATCACTGATATTTCGTTATTTGGCGCTTTAAAACTCGCGAAAGACTATTTATGACCCTGGATCGAAACTAAAATAGCCTACTATTTGTTTTCGGACTGATTATAACGCGTTAATCTATGTCTGTAGTAGGCTACTATCCTAAACGTTTTTAACCGATGATAGTCTGAAAAGTGCTCTGGTTAAGGGAAAGCTTTTTCTAATTTCTTTGGATTATTTAGTAACATATTTGCAGCAGTATAACTTTGCTGTTTCATTGTGTAATATGATGCAATGTCAGCTGAGGACCCAATGCATGAGCTGTGAAGTTAACCGTGCACACTTGAGCATTGACATAATGGATAGACGCGGATAATTTTCATCGAACAGGTGAGTCACAATTCGTATTCGTTTACGATTCATTTTGAGTAAGAAATATTTGCAAAACAAAATTGCATTTACTGCTCTCAATAAATATAACACATATCACTATAACATATTAACTATTAAAACTAAAAAAGTATCATTAATTATAATTCATTCATTCATTTATTCAAATGTTACTGAGTCAGTGACTGCTCACAATTGTGACTAAAAAGTCACCAAAAAACCCCTTATGAGTCATTTTTTTTTAGCTTAATGCATTTGGTTTGGAATCGGGCCTTACTTGATGTGTACAAAATGAAACAAACTGTACTATCAACAAGTAGCCTAACTAATTATACTACAACAATAGCAACAAACATTAAAGAACAAGCCAGTTAAGTTAAAAACTGAATACCAGCAAAAAAGTATAGTCAATCTGGTTATGGTGTTCAGTTCACACCTGCGAAAGAAAGCATGTTTATGGAGCTGTAAGTCATAAAAGTCTGATATTGTTTAAGAATTAGAACTGGTTCTGATTAATAACTAGTTCTTGGTTCCCAATCCCAACCCTTCTTAAAGATCCTTTGATGTGGTTGAAAAGCCTAGCTCAGCCTCAGTTTGCTTGGTTTTCCACGCTAACTCATCTGTTCAGACATTGTTCATGCTACTGTTGATCTGGACTGCTATTTTGAGAACAGATGACATTTTGCCCCCCAGACTGTTAGCACTCTTTCCGGTCCATCCAAGCAGCAGACTGAGTAAAGTTAACATGCGTTACGTAACGCAGCCTTTAGGATAGTGTAACCTAATAGATTTTCACATATGTTCACTGAAGCACATCAAATATATGTATTCAGAGCAACTTATGTAATTCAAAAATGTATCGAGTTATGTTGCACATGTTGCATTCATGTTAACTGAACTTTAATAGGACTATTTGGATCTAATGGAAAATTCATGATGGATTCTAGGCTTAAAGGTATTTTCACTCCTTTAAAGGCAATCGTGTGTGTTTTGGTTTCATTTTCTAGAAGTGTGTCATTTATCGATTTCAGTAAACACGTGACCCTGTCACCTACGTATCTTTAGTTCCATGTGCTGAAATACACAGTGCATTATGGGAAAATGTACTGTATGGAGGCCTAGAAAGACTTTGATCTCTGACATAATTACTTCAGCTATGATCTTGTCTTTCAGTAACCAGACCTGAAAATAACCAGAGATTAGTAATGCTTTCAGAAGTCACATCACCCTTCTCAATACATGCATATTAGATGTCGACTTGGGATAATCCTTTATTAAAAATGTTTTACTGGATATTTCATTGCATGCTAGCATACTACTGTATATCTAGAAACGATAATTTGCACATCTGAATCAACTGAATCATGTACAAAACATTTATCTGTCTTGTCATTTGGCACCAGGTGGGGATACACCACCCACTTCACATGTCATTCTTTCTGTTTATAAAGATTACTTAGCTGTCAGTCTGTGCTGATGGTAATGGCCATGAACTGTCGGAGATGCAGACGAGACAGTGTTAACCCAAAGCATCAACATGCCCCCTCTCACTATTAAAACTCTTCACTTGGCACTTGTGTTGACAGGCTATGTGTGTGTCCTTGACAGGTGCAAGGATCTTTTGTTTATTGCTGTAGTTAGCATGCGTGTTGAATTTTCCAGCAGCTGTCAGCCGTGTGTGTGTGTTTGTCTGTTCACCAGCTGAACACCTCTATCCAACTAGTACCTGATAAAATTATTCTCTTAGCTGCTTTGCCAACGTGACTGTCCTAGCGTCAGATATCTCTGAGGGGTGTTTATTAACAGCAATGGCTGTTAGGTGATCATCCTGAGGCTTGGGCTCCGTTCCATGATCTTGGTTCCCATATTGCATTACAGTCAGTGTAATGTAGTGTAATTTTAATCCAGGCAGCTAAATGTCTGTCCTCAGTGCCAGACAGCTGTTCTACATGGTAACTTCAGTTGTTGTTCTACTTATATTACTGGACACTTATATTATTGATATGGGATAGTAATTTTCAGACCTGATAAGCCAATAATTATTTTCATGTTATGGTTTATAACTCGTAGATGGCTGATATTAAAATTCTATTTTATTTTGTCAAAATAAACAAAAAAATAAATTGAATCTAGAACCAGTTATTTAAAAAAAGAACATCGATTAAAAGTGAATTTGGGCATCACAGCATTATAATGTGCAATTTGTGTTTTTAAACATTAACTTTGGTGAGTGTCAGCTGAGAGCAAAGGAAGTCTAAATTTTAAATGGGGAAATTATTTAACAATTTAATTTGATCATATTATAAATTATATTGTTTTATTACATTGTAACAACTAAGTGGCAAATATTGAGAACAAAAAAATAAGACAATCTTTAGCAACAACATGTATGTACCGGTGTGTGTTCCTGTGTATACTCGTTTATAAAAATATCATTTGGATAATGTATTTTTTTTTTTTTTTTTTACCATGATACAAGTTATACTTTTATTCAGCAAGGATGCATTAAATTGATAAATTCTAATATTACAAAAGTATCTTTTTAAAATAAACGCTATTCTTTTATAATTTTTATCCATCAAGAACTCTAAAAAGTTCAACTAAAATATTACATATTACATATAACAAACATCATCATTTTTTGATGGTCCTGTGTCCTGGATCCTCGAAAGGTCAGATCCTTGTTTGTTAGTATAATAATCACTCACAATATAATAATCTGATAATGGAGAACTTGCATGACTCATTACAGAGTTTCTGTTCAAAAAGATATGAGTCTGTGATTATTCAGCTTGTTTGGATGTCCTCAGTATTTGCTATACTTGCTTGTATGACATCATGGTTGGAGAGTCATATTAAAATGTAATTTATGATGGAGCCAAAGGCAACATAGAAAGAGAACAGAAGCTCACAGAAGCTCTGAACAGCTTTAATTTTTCATCCCATTACTATCACAATCTAAGTATTAGAACTTTGTGTTGAGACAGAAGAAGTGACAGAAAGCTCTCTACAGATTTTTGAGAAAGATGCTTAGAGTCAAAGTGAGCGTTAGCAGGAATAACGTCTAATCACAGCAGCTTTACATGATTGTGTGGATGTGTGTTTTGGATTTTAAAAAATCAGGGGTTTTTAAGCTGTGGATAAGTAGTAATGTTTATCTGGGCTCTCTGTTATACAATAACTACACCAGTGCAGCATCTGTTCTTCTGTTTAGTCAACGGTGATGTCATGTTCACCCTGACTGAAATTCAAATGGACTTGTTTGCATATTAGGTTTGGCCCGTCGGATGTTTTTCCCCACAAAACAAACTGAAAGGCCTTCACAGAATAGAAATTACTATTGTTTGAAACAATATTGTTTACTTACTCAACCTAGCAGACACCATCTGACATGATTTAGTTTATCATAATATTAAAATCTTAATTCTTTGTTGAATATTGTCCTCTGTCACATTAAGTTTGATCGCACAGCCATAAGTTGTTACTAAAACTCATTAATTTATAGAAAATTACAATCATTATTATCCCAGTCATCATTATGGTGTCATATTTTGTATGAATTATAGTATGGTTGTTTTTGTGCAGAGCTGAGTCATTGAACATGGCCACTGTGAATAATGCATCTCTCCCTGTTTTTTTTGTTGTCTTTTTTAAGCAGCACTATGTCCTTATGGACCAGGTCATGGGGAATAAAAGCAGAACATCTTGTGAATGATGAATGGCTTGGAAAGAAAAAGACCAAGTTATCTGACTGGAAACTCTTTATTTTATTGCTTGCAATAGCGGAAAGGACATTTTGCATTATCGTAAGTGGATTAGGTTTATTAGGCTGCAAGATGAGATTGAGAAACAAGAAAAGGAGGTTCAATTCATAATTGTTCCATGAGAGGTTTTAGATCAGTTTTCACAAAGCCTTTTATTTAGTCTCCTTTGTCTCTCTTATACTCCTCCTAATGTTTTCTGTGTGCATTTAAGTGCAGTATAAATGTTGTAGGTTCATGCTGATCAAATGACTTTACTAAGCAGTATAAGGTTTTTCTGCTGAAAGGTTTTTTCCCCTCTGTGCTCATTGTAATGGCTCACATTACTGTGATTGCTTTTAAGGATCAGCAGCTGTCTGATCCTCTTCTTTGTTGTGTTTAATAAGAAGGTTAAACTAGAGTTTTGTCTGCTTATTTCTAGACTAATACTATGACATGACGTCAGATTTAGGGTGTAAATCTTGTTGGATGAAGTTTATTCGAGGTTGAATGATTTAAGGAGCCATACGTTTTGGAAAACTCAAACTTTCCAATATACCTTCAAAATCCATCTTCATTAAAGCAATTTCTCAAGTTTAATAAGAATTTGCCAGTATTCTTATAATTCTGGCCAGTTGGTGAGAATAAGCTTTGTGTACTTTTATGTACAATCAGGCTTCTGATCACTGTCAATCAATATTCTGTGGAGTGTTAGCGCTGCTAACCCCAGGCTTCATGCAGCTGTAGTCTGTTGGATTTCTCATTAGCTGCCTGTGCAAAACAACATTGATTTTAAATGAAGAACATTGCTGAAGGCTTCACGTTTTTAACGAGAGTCTGGCTAAAGAGTTGCTAGCTCACAGTAAACTACCAGATGCGAGGCCCAAGTCCAAATCTTTGAGTGCTAGTAAACAAATCTTTACTCTATGGAGAAGACCATTTTACATGTAATTCAGGGCAGTCAAAGATTAACCCCTTTTGCACTTGAGTAAAATATCCTGGTCTTATAGTGATTTATTTATCGGTCAGCAGTTACTAAAGAAAAAATCATTGGTCTTCCTGATCTTTAATCAATTGTAGCTCTTCTTTAGAACCAACTTTCCTTTTCTGTTAATGTCACTTAGGAATAATGTTAACCAAGGGCCATATGCATCTTTTGTTGCGTTAGCAAACTCTAATTTGGAAATTCCTTAATCTATTTCACAATCAATAGATCCATTAATGAATTGCATTTTTTTTTGCCAATTTAGGCTATGTTTACACGGAAACGATTTTGAAGAGAAAACACAAAAGTGACGCTGCGTTATCACTTTTTATTTTGCGTTTAGACGAGCGTTTTGGGTGGGAAATCCGCGTGCATACTGCATATGATGATGCAAAAGTGTGTGAAATTCCAGGCGGCTCAGAATGCATACTACAACAACCAAGTCCGCGCGCCTGCGTACAACCTTCACTGTCAAGCAGACTTTTGCGTTTTTACCCTTTACACAGGAACGCGGCTGGGGAGCGTTTTAAAGATTTCCACTCTGGAGGGTGGTTTCACTTTTTAATGAAACGAAACGCACATCCGATAAAATATTTTTACGTTTTCACCCGCGCGCTTTCTCGTGTAAACAGGGCCTAAAATAAAGCTGAAATATATAAATATTAAAGAATATATGATCATTTATTTTACCAACTTTTAGGAGTACATTAACTTTACCCTCAAAGCTAACAGACATGGACTTGAAATGACAACTCCATTTTTGTTTTCATATTGTCTAATGTCGGCAGATACTGTTTGATGTGGTAGAAATATATTTCGTATTTACATTTGTTTTGTGAGGGTATGGCGGATAGTGGTTTTCTTTATTAGTTTAGTTTCTTAGTGCCATATAAATGAGAAATAAGCTTCTGTTTTACTAGTGCCAACTTTTGCAATAAAACAATCTTTTTTTGTAGAGCACTGTGGCTTGAACAATAAACGGATACATGCCTGCCAAAATTGAGAAATCCTCTTTGGCTCTTTTCAAAATGTAAGATGTGGTTAAATGCATGGATTTCCACCTTCATTTTGCATCCATCAAATATTAACAGACTCTGAGTGCCACTGCTCTCCTCCAGACATATAACCTGAATATGTCTGGAATGAATGCTTGGTGCGTAGGAGAAAATTGACCTTAGTCTGTTCTGATGTTAGTCACCCAATAGAAATAAATGCTGTTGAGAAATAAAGTCAAATGGAGAATGCACTTGCAAACACCGCAAATACTGTTATCAGTGTTAAGGTGGACTGTAATGCATTTAATTCAGCTCTCAAGCAGATCTGCCTTATTTCAATAAGCCGCTCTCTGTGACAAATCCCAACCTGTGCACACCTGAGGCAAGCTCAGCTGAAGATAGAAACAAACCAGTGTCAGACTCTAACACCAGCTTACCTCATACAATGTGCTCTGGAGGACTTTTGCATAACCGGGCAAGCGGATTCAGTACAGAGGTGCATTCAGACAGAAAGATTACTCTGTCTAATTGATTTTAATATCGGACCATCACATGTTGGCACACATTATGTTATCTCTCTAACTGACTGGGATATATCAGAAAATGGTCAGCTTAGTAAAAGCCAGGTATCATTCTGTTCTTCCCCCTGCTCTCAACATTTAACTTTTGCCCAAGTGTAGAAATAAGTTAAGTTATACTCTGAAATTGCAAGTTTCACAATTAATTAAAAAGTAAATTGAAAAAAGAGAAACTGCAAATTATTAAACATGTATTTTTTTTTAATATAAGGATGGAATTCGTTTTTTATTTTTTATTTTTTTTTTTTTTTTTTTACATACTCCAGTAATCTTTATTTACGACCTTGAAAGATATTTTTTAGTGTGTTAGGTTGGACTGGTAGAGAGACAAACAAAACCCTCTTGTTTTTGCTGCATTGGTGCTGCAAATGTGATTAAAGGCAATAGTTTATCTGGAGGCTTCTGCTGTGGCCTGAGGTCCATTTAAAATCACATTTAGACATCTCATCAAATTCTACTTTGTTTGATCTGAAGTGACTCGCCTTTTGGAGTCAGAATGATGTTTGCTTGTGTGTATGCGTGTGTCTTGAGATGCAGGTATCTTCACTTTCATTTTCAAGGATTGTTTTAGTGTCTTATTTGCTCTAGTTGAGTGAGTTTTGTGTGGGAAGGAGCCAGTTGACAGATGGTCTGAAGTGTTGCCATAGTAACCCAATCTATGACATCATCTGACCCCAGGCTTCAGTTATAACCCTCCTTTGCCCTCTAAATGGGTGCTGTATTTTATGTAGATTTATGCACTTGTTTATTTCGTACAGTAACTGACCTTTTTAAAAATATATTTCAGTAAAGAGTTCAAAGCCTAACAACAAAACAATCTCTGAAATGATTCACAATGTTGCAATCTTCATTTTAAAACAAGAAAATGTTTAAAAATCAGATGCATATTACTACACTCTAAAAAATGCTGGGTTGTTTTAACCCAACTTTGGGTCAAATATGGACTAACCCAGCCGTTGGGTTAAATTTTTACATTACATTTTTAACCCAACATTTCGGGTTTGTCCATATTTGACCCAAAATTGGGTTAAAACGACCCAGCATTTTTTAGAGTGTAGATTGTTCTAAAGCATTATAAATGTTATTATTACATTATAAATTTAAAACAACATAACACTATACATATTGAAGTTATAGCATTGATTTTAAGTATAGAATATCAATATTTTTACATTCTGCAATATTCAGACAGACTGCCATTCAAAAGTCTGGGTCAATACGAGTTTTTTGATATTTTTGAAAGTTGTTGAAAGTCTCTTTTAATTAAATACAGTAAACTGCTGTAAATGATGACAATTATGATTACAGCAAAATGTTCAGCATTATTTCAGTCTTCACTGTGTCACATGATCCTTCAGAAATCATTAATTTTCTAATCTGCTGCCCAAGAAACACTTCTTATGATCAACGTTGTAAACAGTTCTGCTTAATTTTTGCATGGAAACCATAATTCATGATGAATGGTATTTCACTTCTGAACAAGAAAGATCTGGTGTTAGAATCTTCTTGTGTTTTGACTGTTGAAAACATGAAATATAATGGCGTCACAAGTGGTGTTGTTGGGTAAAGTGGCTTTGGCAGGATGTGTTTTAGCTGACCTGATTTGGTAGAATGAAGAGGATTATAAAGCATGGCAATCTCTCTCTCTCTCTCTGTCCATTCATTTGTGTCGTGTGACTGCTAGTATAATCTCTCGTCACAGAATGTGGGTCAGTGTGTGAATAAAGGTCGCTCTATTCACCCCCTTTTTCCTTCCTGGTTTTAAAACACGCTTCCCATTATACTGTCATAAACTCATAAACCAAAAACCTGATCCACAGATACTCAAAACTGGTGCTCTAATGGACCAAAATATGTTGTTGTGTATGGATTACTGTTTGTGTTTATCTATATACTTAATACCTTATCTTTTATCTTTGTACTTCTGTGAAAGAATGAACAAGGCTGATTTTTGTGAATAAAACTGTATTAGAACAAAATAAAGTTAGACATTATAGACTAGAGGCACTATTCATTTGGCACTATTCACTATTCATCAACATGATCTTTACATAATATCCTTATAATATCCCAATAATTTTGACCCATGCAATGTATTGTTGGCTATTGCCACAAATATACCCATGCGACTTGTGACTGGTTTTGTAATCCAGGGTCACATTATAACACAGTAAGACAATAATTCGGTAGAAAAACAGAATAATTACTGGTATTTTTTTGCCAGGATTTATCCATTAATTTTACAGACATTTCCTTTAACCCTATAACAGGAGCCCAAATGCAATCTGTAATTCAAAATATGGGTAAGGAAGGGAAGGAAAATTCCTTTATTTAAATATTGGGCCCTATTTTGACAGACTTTTCCGAGTGAATTACTAAACTATGATGCTCAACTAGAAAAAAAAATCATGGACAAAGCTGGGCGTCCACATAAATGTGATAATTTACGGGATATGAGCTACTGATTTCTTTTGTTCTTCCTTTGACCAGTTCATTTTAAATGATTCTGTGGTGTCACAAATCTTAAAAAAATCTTGATGCATAATACTTATTAAAATGAATATCAAATACTGCTTGAATTAGTTTAAGATTTAAGTATTGTATAGCATGTCACACCACAGGACAAACGGATTTATTAATTTATTGTGTTAATGGATTTTTTCTTTTCTTTGTTCCTCTCTTTCTCTTTAGGTGGTCCTTTAATGTTTCTCCATGAGTCTGCTGTTTGCTGATGGAACAGAAGGTCCTCAGTAAGTCCGCAATGGTTTCCAGGCTGCCAAAATTTGGTGCGCGTCCTGTCAATTGTACCCCTTCATCCCTTCCCAATGGTACAACCCAGACTGCGCTCACCCAAGAGAGCAAAAATCCCCCTGCTAGGCCAAACGGAGTGGTCAGAGCCTCCTCCTTTTCCATGAAATGGAGGAAGTGCAGTGATGGGTCAGTGGACTCTTCAAGCCCAGTCACAGGCAGTATACCAGAAGAAAAAAAAGAAGTTCGCTCCCTGCATTCTCCAGGAAGTAAGGAGTTAAAAAGCCCTTCTACTCCTGCAACCAAAGTGCGCAGGTCTGCCTCCTCATTGTCCACCGGAAGCCCCAAACCTGTAGCCAAATCCCCTAAATCCACCCCGAGCCCTAAACCAACGCCCAAAAACACTCAAACCACCTCCAAAAGTCAGGACGTATCCCAAAAAAACTCAAGCTCCAAGCTAACTCAAAATGGGACATCATCTCTGGGGTCTTCACCAGGCCAAGCAGCCTCTTCGGGGCTCCAGCGACCAAGGGCGAACTCTAGCTCCACTCGAAGCACCTCTAGAGACAGCTTGTCCCAGTCCAATGACAGCCTCTCACGCCAGCCTGCTGTGCCTGACTACATGGTGCGTTCTCAGAGCTTCACCCACTTCAAGCAACTGCCCTCGCCAACGTCCGCACCCATGACTCGATCCTTTTCTTTCAACAAGGCTGTGGAGCTAGCCAAACCGCTTGCTAATACCCAGCTGCGTCCTCCGAGAACACTTGGACTCAAATCTTCCCTGAGCCTCAGCAAGGGCCGGCTAGTGCTCGGTTTAGGGGGCCTGGGTTTTGGAAAGGGGTTAACAGATAGACTATCTTCTGGGACTCCTTCTTTAGAGAGCTTAACGCCTTCTAATTCCATAAAAAGGCCACTTCTGCCTAACTCTGGGCTGACAAAGCACTCGTTACAGGCCTACAGGTTAAATCGACCAATTGCTTCCAAACCGCAGTGCCCTCTAGTGGTTGGGAGGTACCCTATGGAGAGTGATGTTATAACCCTGCCTCTCAGTTGTGCCAAAAAGAGTGTGAGTGTCTGACTCCATCATTTTTATTAACATGCATAATTTCTTGCATCTTGATATATTTTTTTTGCATGGTTCAAGAAATAGTTCCCTTATGAGTTCATTGACCAATGTCAGATTGAAATTGTGAACAAATCAATCTTTTCTAATCTTTTCAATCTTTGAATTATTTTTTTTAATATGTTATCAGTTCTTTAATTTTGGGACCAACTTATCATAAAATAATAGCAATATAATAAAAAATATAATTAGCAATATAGTACAACAATATTAACAAATTAATTATTATAATCTTTATTATAATTTTTATTATCTTTTTATTATGATTTATTAGTTATTATTGTGTCTCAAATGATCATGCCAAATATGAAACTTATAGTTTTGTATTCAGTTAATGTTTTTTTTTCCAATTTTCAAAATATTTGCATAGCTCTACTGGAGCTAACACAGAGAAATCAAACATTGAAACAAGACTGAATTTTCCCATTTTGTGGCTGTGAAAAGGCATCAGCTTCTACAGTTTCCCCCGAGGAGCATGTGACAGAGCCGGAGACGGATGGGAGCCTCCGCTACTCCGGGGATGGAACGGAGGACATGTCTCTCTCCTCTGCATCTTCTCTTGAGAGGAATGACACCAGTGAGGAGTTCCTAGATGACTTTGACAACATAAGGGACCAATCGCAAAATGGCATCCTGCATAACAAAATTCCTTTAGCCACACCCACCCAGACACGCCTGCAGAGCTTCTTGAATGAGACCATGACCTGGACTGGGATTGGGTTGGAAGGTACAGTATAGCTAAGTGTTGTGTCAAACAGTACGGAGCTGATAATATTTGTGGCAAGCATGCACTGTTTATGCTGTTATATCATGTCTGCTCTCAGGTGGAAAGGCAGATTTAAGGGCTGGTGTGCTCCGTGGGCGGCCGCCGCCGCTCATGTCCCCTGATGTGGATCATCATGCGGCCTCCTCTCTGGAGCTCTCCCCCTCTAACAGCTCTGGAGGAACATACATGTGGGATGAGGAGGGCATGGAGCCACTGGGACACAACACGCATATACACCGTTGCAGCAGTTATGAGTCAGACCTCAACAGCATAGTGAGTACACGGTTATCCTCCCAAAAATTGTTTGCTGTCCCCTTAGAGTGCATTTTAAAATCTCCAAGATTTATTTGTCAAATATACAACATGTGTATTACTGATATAAAAATAAACAATATAAAGTATTAGTATATAAAGACTAAGTAGCGAATTAAGAGTAAATACTACTAACAGTTGTTAATAATAAAATAAATAACAAAAATTGTTGCTGATAACATCAATAATAATGCTGCTGATAATAATAATAATTTGTAATAAACATTTTTGATGTTTCTGATAATACATTTATTTTTGTTGCGTATAATAAAATAATAATAAAAATAATTAACTGCTGCTGATTATTTTTTTTGTTATAATTGTATTATTATTATTATTATTATTAATATTATATTATATTAAAAATAATATTTGTAGAACCACGTTGTTGGGCTTTTATTTTTATTTTTTTTACTTGATCGTCCTTTTTTGGGATTTGGACCTACAATTTTTGCGTTACCTGCTGATATATTTAACCACACCCATTCTCGCGACTGTATAAAAACCTTTTTCTGAGATTGTGGCTTCTGCAAGTCCCACAGAAAGCTGTTCAATTCTTTGTGGGTGTTGGCTGGTTGTGGGCTTTCTGTGTGTGTATCGTTCCTGTTCTGCTTATTGCTGGTTTCTAGATGTGTGCTTGTGCGTGTTACAGGTTCTCTCCGTCCCTATCCTGCTAATTATTTCCTTGCTAATAAGGGATTAGCCCCTGTGGCTCTTACTCGTGACTCTGCAGGAGTGTGACTCCGAGTCTGAACAGAGGTCCTGTTCTGTCTCGGCTGTTTTTCAAAGCCACTGATCGTATGGGAATGCGGAACGGTGCCGCTTAACATTCCAGCTTTTGATCCCATTGAAGCAGGCTGTGACATTTGTCCTTTTAATTTTCTTTTTTGTTTGTTTGTTCTGATTCACAATGTCAGATCGGCTCTGTTGAATACAAAACGAGTTAGGCTGGATTTGAAACAGTAATGTAAATGAATCAAATGTAAAATACCAGTGTTCTCTTGTAGTATATACACAAATGCACCCCCCACACACAGACATGCTCACTTTAGTGTGACTTCAGATATTTTGTAATAGCAGCAAGTATTTATTAGAGCACGGCTAAGTCATTGTTCTTCATACTTGTGTGGGTTGTTCTTCTGATGTAGTTGTATAGAGGAGCAGGCATTCAGTTTACAACATAATTGACTGCGCTTTAGGTTGAGCTGGGCTTTGAGTGACATCTAGCGGTTTACTGTAGGTACTAAATAAATTCCAGCATTTCGCCTGTGGGGTGGTTCCTAAAACAAGCATCATAGTTATCGCTCATACTTAGGGTTAGGGATTTTATCAAACCCCTTCTGAAGTATTCAAGTTCAATTCTTTTCCTGGATCTTTATGGAAGTGTCTTTGCTGAAGCCAGTTTTATCCTGTTACATGGATAATCAGTGGCTTGCCTCACACATGCACAGTAATCGAATGATTAACTTTCCCTCCTGATGGCAGTTGATCTCCTCTAGATCCCTGCGTTGTCTATCTTTAGTTTAAGACTCCTGTGCTCTCACGGATAATGAAATGGCTCTCTCTTGCACTTAGCGAGTGATGTAACAAGTTATCTTTAGTTTGTTAAATACTACTACAAAGTTGTCCTGTCCAGTTTATTACAGCCACACGGAACTGTTACATCTACTGATTTAACTATAAATTAAATAAAGAACAAGTAGTATATAAAGAATAAAGTACTAATAACAAGTCAAGTAGTAGTAACAGTTGTTAATAATAATAATAATAATAAAAATATTTTTGTTGTTGCTGATAACTATAATGATGATGATAATAATAATTTATAATAAACATTTTTGTAAACAGTTGAATCAGTTTCTTTTAATACATTTTTGCTTATTATATATATATTATTGTTGTTGTTGTATTAAAATAGTATTTTTAGTACTGTGTTTTCAGGCCTTTTATTTATTAGTAGATTTTTAATGAAGCAAGACCAGATCTAGTTACTGTAATAGTCATCAGCATAGTAGTCAATGGTCATTATGGGTTAATATTTACCAGAAAGAGCTGCAAGTATAGTGAAACTGCTGTTTATCGTGCTCAAACACATTAAAACCGATTGACAGCGTGAGTTGTTGGAGCTAATGAGAGCTCCATGAACCACATGACTGCATGGTTCATGGGCCGCGTGAAGTGTTGCAACTGTTTTTCAACGGCTCTGGCTCAAACGTGCTTCGTAACGTGATAATTAACCTTATTAATTCTTGCACATCAAGCAAGCATACTCTTAATTAACTTCTTTTTGAAGCATCATCAAAGTGGTAGTTGCATACATAGCTGTCAATGGAGGGACAGAAATCTCTCAAATTTCATTATAAAACTCTCCATTTCTGTTCAGAGGATGAATGAGAAGTCTTTGGACTTTCTGGGACGGGTTTGGAACGACATGAAGGTTAGAATGACATGAGTAAATGAAACATTTTTGGGGGACCTAACTAACCCTTTAAAAGATGCACTTTACCCAAGACCACAAGGGGGCAGTATGGATTCAAGAGACAAGAAATGTTTTCAACATCTCCCTATCTCTTTCCTTACATTTTGCACTTGTGTGTTTGTGTGTTTAATCCCTCAGTTGACTTCTGCAGTTCCCCGTTAGGCTCATTTAAGAGTGGTTTATTTGTTCTAAATATAGTCTGTCTTGCAGGAGGCATTTACAGGCCAATTCATTAGCTGCTAAATGATCTAGGTGCATAAGCCTTTGTTTTCAACTCAGTAAGTGATTCTGAGATGTGCTTTTATCTGCTGCTGTTTCAGTATTAATTAGCTGAGAGGTATAGAGCATTGTTTACACTTTATCTTTTGCTGACATTACTAAGACTATAAACAGGATTTGTTTAATTTTTTAATAAATAATTAACCTCTCTAATCGGCTCTGAATTTATTAAGCTAACTGGTTTATTGACTATTTCTTATTTTGCTTAATCTGCCTGTAATTCCTAATGGCTTTTTGAGAGCCTTTTCACACATGTACATAACCACCATAGGTGGTCTTTGCAACATAGGCGGTCTTTAATATATTGTATGCAATGCGACGGCAATTACTTTATTGTCTGTGATATTTAACAATGTTAAAGGGTTAGTTCACTTCAATATTAAAATTCTGTCATAATTTACTCACCCTCAAGTTGTTTTAAACCTGAATGAATTTTTCTTGTGCTGAACACAAAAGATTTTTTGATGAATGTTGGTAATAGGGATGTATTTCATATTATCACGATTATCAATATTATCATGTTTTTTATTAAAATCAGAAAAAATTTTATAAAAAAAAAAAGGACCGCTATGCACATTGAAAACATTTCAACAAGTTTTATATTTGGAAATCAACAAATAAATAAAATTAGCAGCTCCTTGCACTTTTTAAAAGCATACACATTCAATTATATGACCGTCGTCAATAGCAACGCATTATAACACAACGCACATCTCTTCTATCACCACGGACGCGTTCTTTGGTTTCATTGAAATGCTAGTACAGCCGTTTCATTGAAATGCTAGTACAGCCAAATAGAGCAAACTTTGGTGATAACAAAACAAATATTTAATTGCTACAATAGTAATTTCTCATTATAATAACATCAAAAGTGGAAAAGTTGGTAAAAAAAATTATAATTAATTTAATTTTAATTGAAATTATAATTGAAAGGAGAAATAATTGAATTATAATTGAATAATTCAATTTCAATTGAAATAAATATTATTACAGCTTCCACAGACATCAATGTCTAAATCTACTTCATATTAAATATCTATTTAAATGTCTGAAACCTCAAATAAACATTATGTGATTGAAAAAATGAGGGCCCTATTTTAACAATCTAAGCAATTGGTCTAAAGCGCACGGCGCAAGTGCACTTAGGGCGTTTTCGAATCCACTTTTGCTAGTTCAACAATGGGAAAAATGGTCGATGCTCCCGGCTTGTGGTCAAAGGGTCGTCCCTATTCTCTTAATGGGTGTGTTTTGGGTACAACGTGCAGTAAACCAAACCTTAAGTTGTTGAAGGTCGTAAGGCGTATGGAGGAATTGTTACTTTAATCTTTTGTACATAATATGAAGAGGCACATAAAATTGTACTGCATGGCCTGTACTGGTTCAGTTCTGTGTCAGAGGTCATTTGAAGATCTGAACTATATTGATAATTAATTAATCATGAAACATCGGTCACAGTTTATTTTATTTCTTAAAATTTTACAAGAAGTCTCTTACACCATGTTCTAACCAGACATGACGTATATAACTTAAGACAGAAGAGAATTGAAATTGAAATATTTGAACCCCATGCATATGACCTCTTTTCTAAATCGCCATTGAAACTTGGACATCTCCAAAAAATCTTTGAACAGAGCCAGGGTAATTTTGTCCTGGATGTAGCCTAATATTGTTTATTGTTCAGTAATGTTCCTTTTGATTCCCCAAATATGAGGTTTCACTCCTGAGCGCAACGCTCAGATTGTGTGAAATATGATGAGGATTCTGGGCTTGTCTGATAGCACCTTTCTCAAATGTTATCTGAGGTTCTGTCTGTATCGGTCTGGTTCTGAAGGGATCTTAAATCCGATCTTCTCGGCTGATTCACACAGGCCTATGTGAAATGGGGTGCGTTATTCCGGCTCTTTCAGCGCAGGAGGAGAGTGCTGATGGGGCTTGGGCTGTGTGTCTAAGCTGCCGCCCGGCGCAGTGAAATGTCATTTCCTCTGAAGCAACCTGCCGTGACTAAGCCCATAATACATGGAGAGATTCAGAGCGAGGGGAACCTGAGAGACTGTGTGTATGTAGGTGAACTAAAGTGTATAAACTCTGGCTGCTTTGAATACACTTTGTAGATACTTATAAGATGGTATGGTGTGTACAATACAGTATGTGTATTAATGTCCAGGAGAGGGACCTGCCTCTGTTTTAAGTGCATATTTGTTTGATGGATGGTGATCGGAGAACATCTTGTCAACTTCGATGACTTGAAGAAACATTTTGTTCTGTGAAGGTATCACAGTTGTTTGATTGATAATGTTTTCTAAAGTATGCTGAAAGCATATTTGTACTGTGGTTCTTTCCCCAGCTGGCTGCTGATTATGAAATATGGAACATTATACAGAAACTTTCACAGTGTACTTTTTTTTTTTTTTTTTTGCAAGGCAAGAAAGTCCTCCATTTATAAAAGGCAATGTATTTAACATGGCTTGAAGGGAGTGTTCAGCCAAAATGAAAATTCTGTCATCATTTACTCTAAACATAATTCATCTCTTCCATGAACACAAATGAATAATATTTGAAGAATATCCTGTCTACTTTTTTTCAAAATAAGGAAAGTTAATGTTGACTAGGACTCTTTAACACCAAAATGACTATAAATTAAAGGCACTACATTCAAAGTCTTCCAACTATTTGATAATTTTGTGTAATAAAAAGGCAGAAATAGTTATACTACACTGTAAAAAAATACATTTTTTATTTGTAAATGAAAACAAAATGTTGGAGTATATTTCAGTTTTTCTATTTCAGAATGTTCATGTTTAATTCAATGTGTAGAATTTCTGTTGAGACAAGATGGTAGAGTCAGAATTTGGCGTAAACAGAATGAGAACATAGATCTATCATGCCTTGTTACCACTGTGCAGGCTGGTGGTGATGGTGTAATGGTGTGGGGATGTTTTCTTGGCACACTTGAGGCCCCTTAGTGTCAATTGGGCATTGTTTAAATGCCACAGCCTACCTGAGCATTGTTTCTGATCATGTCCATGTCTTTATGACCACCATGTACCCATCCTCTAATGGCTACTTCCAGCATGATAATGCACAAAGCTCGAATCATTTCAAATTGGTGTCTTGAACATGACAATGAGTTCAGTCCGTCCAATGTAATATTCTGCACACTATCGTTTAAAATATTGGGGTCAGTAAAATTATTAGTATGTCTTGTATTCAAACAAACACTGAATTTATTTGACCAAAAATGCAGTAAACTGTAATATTGTGAAAATATTATAATTTTTTTTAATGGATTCCTATTTCAATGTATTTTATAAAGAAATAAATTGTCATGGCAGTCGTCAGTCTTTATCATCACAGTTGAATTTATCATCACAGTTGAAAAATTGTAATTAAAGATGACACTTGGTAAATTCAAAGGTTAATCACTGGGATGGCAACACAAAGGGCACAGGTATGAACCAAAATAGGGCATGAACCATTTTACTGAAGTGTCATCGAGATTCATTACCTGCATTGTGCCCTTCTACGAGACACTTAACCCTGCATTGATTTATAGTAAATGTCCCTGCAATTAATGCAACGTTAAGTATTAGTTAAATGTCAAGTAACTAATTAAAAAACAAAACAATTGTTTTACAAGACGTCTTACTTCCACAAGAGTAAGTTTAATTTATGTAAATGTATCACCAAGCAGCAATTTCGCTCTCCATGTTGTACACAAGTGATTAAATGATCATAGAAAAATTACATTAATATGCAGTATTTCAACGTGTATATTTTGGAAATGATGAATTAAATGAGTGAAATATCCCTTCAATTGGTTCCACCTCTGTAAGATGCTCTCAGATTTCACTCTCAACCTTGAAATCAGTTCAGAGCGTTTCTTGAGAGACTCTTTTAAGATTACTTGCATCAGAGTTATTTCTTTGCTGGGTACAAATCAAGGCTGAGCTGTGAGGCCTTGTTTTATGCTATTTCTTAACAATATTTTAACACATAGAAACGTGGAGAACAACTTTCTTCAAAGAGCTTATTTTCTTTTGAACTCTCTGCGCCAGACTCAATGTTCAGAATCTCTTTTAAAATGCATTAAAAAGCGCCCCAATAGCTGATAACTGCCCCCTTTTGAGTCTACCACACACAGACAGAAAATTAAAGAGGACGTTTCAGGCTGAGGACAAATTGAGGTTTTGTTGAGGCGTATAGATTTTCACCTTGGCATGCTTTTGCATTTTAAAAATAATCAGGTGGCCCGAGAAGTCTACGGTTTTATATACACGTCATGTTCAGTTAATGTTTTCTCTTCATGTTTCACTTCCACTGTCTGTGTATCCCCTTTCCTGCATATGATCATAAGGCCGTGTTTCCACCAAAATGTTTTTCCATGCGCCTGGCGTATGTTTTCAATTGTTTTCTATGGGAGCGTTGCATTTTTAAAACGCCATGAGCGTAACAACACGCTGAGCAGTTTTTTTTCACGCTGAAGCCCTGAGTGGCTGGTGTTTTTTACAGGTCATCGAGAGTTGAAAAATGTTAAACTTTGGGTAAAACCATATACTGGTTTTACACAAAAAAAAACAAACAAAAAAAAACACGCTGTGCTGCCAAAACGCTCTCAAGCACCCACAGCTAGGCGTCTTCAGCAGAGCGTCTAGCGCTTTGTATAATGTATTACCACAGTTATATATATATTTTAAAAAAAAAAAAGTAATGCAGTTTTCAATTTCTAATTCTCCTTTTTTCTCTATTGTTCTTTTCTCATGCACAGGATATTCTGAACAACTTTGATAACACTGGATCATGTGACCTGGAAGATGATGACCTCATGCTTGATGTTGATCTGCCAGAAGATGCCTTACACAATGGTTAGTGTACACACACACACAAACACAGACACACACACGCACACACACACACACACACACACACACACACACAGTGAAATTGAGCACTGAAGCATAACCATTATCATTCACTAAGACTAAATTTGCCTTTTGCCCACTATTTGATGTCTAAAGTCATTACAGAAATGAAAATTATCAATAGAATCATGTCTTCATCACTGTTTTCTCAAAGCTTGTAGATATGGCTAATAAATTACTAAATAAATGTCATGAAAGTCTCTCTCATTATTTTCAACCCCAGTGCATGAAATGACCAACATCTATTTACCTTTAGAACCACAATGGTCATTCTGAATTGAATTTGTAAAATGTGCATTGGATTTATCTGGATCTATTCATTCATTTTCAAATTGCATAGAAAATGATTGCTGATTGGGTTTAATCATTGCTGATTGATCACATACTTTAAATGTGAATTACATTTCTAAGGATGAGTTTCCTGCAGCTTAGTATGTATTTTTGATTCATTCAAATTTGTAAAGGGATTAAGTTGGGTTGAATACAGTAAATCATTTTGCAATTGAATAATTTGATTTGAGGAATGTAAATTGTTTTAGTGATCATACAACTTGACCTTTGGCATGATTTTCAGCATATATATATATATATATATATATGTGTATATATATATATATATATATATATATATATATATATATATATATATATAAGCTGCTTTTTTGCTTTTTATATGTATGATAGATTAATTATGAGTTAAAAACTTAAGTAATTATGGTTTGTACAAAAATAATCGCTACCCCAAAAATCTTTGTTAAAATAACCTAAAATAATGATTTCAAATAAATGTGCAAGTATTTTTAAGCGTTTCTCCATTTTTATTTACCTTTTGTGCCGGTAATTTAAAACTGCTGTTACATGAATTTTTAAATGTATAAATATTTAATGTAGTCTCTGAATTTGAGGTCATAAAAGTATGACATTTGAGTATAATGAGAAAAATGTTAAAAATGTCTAAAAAGGTTTTAGATTACAGTTTTTCTCTATTGCCTAAACACATTTCTTGAATCTATGCCTCACATTTGCAAAACCGTAAACACAAATCCATAACGTCTCACCCAATTCCCCAAACATCTTATTTTCAGGTCTAAATGAAGCTCTACCGTCAAAACCCATTCATTCTTGCTGAAAAACCAAACTTTTTCCTCAGACATCACACACAAGCCCTCACAAACACACTCACTACAACATAGTATAACACACTGGTGCAATAAATTCAAAACAACATTACCAAAACTGGTAAGTTATGTTGCTTGTGGTTCCTCTCCTCACAAACCTTTTCACATGATGAACACAGAAGACACAACCAATGGATACATTGGCACATTTTTATACATTCATGTACAGTATAAAGAAATAAAATAAAATAAATATTCCACCTCAGCATCCTGTCTTTGGTCTGGGTCAGGCCAGAGAATCTCGTCCACTCTGGGTTTCCACTTGGGTAACTGAGATGAAGCTGTGCAGTGACAGAAAAATAAATATGACTCGTGTGTCAAAACAGGGGAATAGTGTTTATAGTTTAGGGAAATGGGTGTGCTTTTTGATAAATGACGTTATGATTTTGAAATTTTAGTTCAAAAGCCTGGTTATATTGTTTAAGCAATCTAGTAAAACTGTAAGTAGAGTTAAAAGGGCACTAAAAGGTCTATTGCTGTCACTGCCTGACTAGTCATTTTTAACTGCCAAATACAGTCAAAATAAAGAATTTATTACATTTGCTAAATTGTATTACAATGCTGCTTAATACCTTTGTAATGTTGCAAAAGATTAACAATTAATTTAATTTAAAGAATTATTAAGCAGCACCATTGTTTTCAACATTGCTAATGAAGATATTTTTTTGAACACTATATCAGCATAATAGAATTATATGTGAAAGATCACATGACACTGAAGACTAGCGTAATGATTGCAGAAAATTCAGCTTCACCATGAATTACATTTTAAAAATAGAAAGTAGTTATTTTAAATTGTAACTTTAAAAAATTTATTTAATAATAATATATACAGTATAGAAATATATTACATACAGTAGTGCTTATGTTATTAGCATGTCTTGAATTACCGTAGTTTCCATTGGAGACAACCCCTGCAGAAAAACACTGAATAAATATCCTCAATCGTCCGAGTAAGTCTCATAAACTCTGTTTTGGAAAAGATCGTCCTTTTGTTGAGCTCACTTCATTTTTCCTTCAGTCTCAGAGTGTGATTTTAGAGTGTGTTAGTGAGGTCACAGGGTGGTTACGGGTTCTGCAGATTCTTGTATACGTAGACAAATTCCATGCTAGGGATGCCAAACAAAAGGCTTCATACATACACTTGATAGATGACATTCAAATGTATGATTGCATCCTCTGTGTACAGGATGTTTGTCTAAAGTTAAAAGATACTTCTTTTGAGCATTTGTGGGTTTTTTTTTTTACTTGTTTTGGTTTGTTTATATTCAGTATTTGGACCTGCGCCATCAGCAGGAATCAGTTTCACACCGCTGTGTATATATGTGTGTGTGTATTTATAGCCTCAGGCATCATGGCCTGCAGTCATGTGAGGAGGGTTACAGAGCCAGAGGAGGGAATAGATGACTTCAGGCCCCCTCCCCCTTTCTCTCCCCTCCCGGTCTTTCTGTCTCCTTCATTCCTTCCATGGTCGATCTGTCTGCTTGGCAGGCAGGAAGGCCTGCTGTTTTTGACACTGCTTCCCGAGACCAGAGGGAAGACTCTGCCCGAGGGCTGTGTCTCGTCCTGGCTGGGAATGCCACCGCCAGTTCCTCTTCTCTTCAGAAGGCCCCTCGGCTAAGGGAATTACAGCTGTGTGTCTGTTTCTGGTCAAAGCTCCCAGGGAGTTCCTCACAAACTCATACACACAACCTCGTTCCAACAGGGCGGAAAAGTTATTGGACTTGCAGATGCTCGTGTGGCCAGTGAGAAATTCGTAGGTAGTTTGACACTTTTTCAAAGTTTTATACATACTCTGAGTTATACATCATAGAGCTTTGGAATTTTTTACCTTGGTGACCTTGTCCAACAATATTTCAACTTTTTTTTTCTTCTTTTGGACGTGTTAGACTGAACAGACCATCTCTGCTCTTAGTGCTGAGGTTATTTGTATTCGTGTGAGTGAGTTTTGGACTGTCTGTTTTTGAGGTTCTGGCAGTGAACCGGACAGCAAGGACAAGAGGAATGTAGCAGGTCTGTTTTGAGCTTAGTTTTCTCTGTTCTGTTTGCTGTCTTACTCTGTGCTGGGTAGAAGTGCATAGAAAGATTGAGGGTGTGCTTGTGTGAGAGACGGAGAGATTTTGTATGCAAGAGTTTTAGTGCGAGTTTGCCCTGATATTTCGCCTCAGGCAGTGTGAGTGCTGTGTATTGAAATTGTAAACAGCTCTGCGTTTTGAAGGACCTTGCTCAACTTCCCAAAGAAAGATGACCTTCTTTTTTCAAGAAGTCTGTGTTTGTTTTGGAGTATGTCTAGGAGACTAACTGAATGTGTGATTGTGTTTAAAAGTGAGTTGGGTTTGTTCAATGTGTTTGTTTATTTGTCATTGACTGCTATTGACCCCTCTGTGCATGCAGATGGGATGGCCCACTTTGAGCGCTCTGAGAGGGGGGGCCGGCCGCCTCAATGGAGGAGGAGACAGCAGAGATGGAGTGGAATGGATCAAGCTCATAATGACAACAGGTGAATGCAGGTGTTTCACATCAGAGGCTATTATACACATATCTGTTATAAACGTGTATATTATAAAAGTTTATTTTGTTATTCATTACAAATTATATTTTAGCAAAACTGGAATAATATATTCAGCATTTAGGAATACAGCTGTGCATTTTATAATACGAGGGTTGTATTCAGGGTTTGAAATGAACACCTGCCAAATGCAGGTAAAAATTTACTTTAGCGGGTAAAGCTGTCAAATTGCTAGTCAATTTGGCGTGTAATTAGGTTTACTCACTTTGCTGAGGAAGTTCGTGTAAGCCAAATCGGCACGAATTTAGCATAAATACTCAGCTCGTGAGTCATCTTATGATCTATATAGTGTATTGCGCAGATTCTGCGCTTTTCTGGCAACAAAAAACGGCGCGCTTGTTCACTTGCATTAAAGAAATAGTGAAGATTAAGAAACATTTGGTTAACATTTGGTTGCTAATTTCCAACATTATACGTTTCTCCACCTAAAACACATGTTTGGTATATAAAAAAAAGAAGATGAGAATGAATGAGGAAAGGAGGAGATTGTTTAATAAGAAATTATTGTATGAAATCCCAAATTTTAATATATATGTATGTGTGACGTAGTTAATCTGGTTGATTCTTCTTCTTTTTTTGGCTAGTAGAAGTTCTTAAATTTAGTAACCAAATTGGCTGGTGGGTTAAGTCAATTTCAAACCCTGGTTATATTAAATCTCTTTTAATATTTTTTTCTGTCTCAAGGTTCATTCATAATATAGTTTTTAGCATCAAAAAACATTATTCCGTTAATGTAATTTATTCATAATTTTTTTCACCTCCTCTCAGCCCCAGAATGAAATTATCTTTATATTATTATTATTATTATTATTATTATTATTTATTTTTATTTTTTGTCAGGTCCATTGTAGTTTGTTTTCCACCATCTTTAATTAACAGGCAGTGAATTGCACACAAATCACAAACAAGTGATAGCAAAGCTGAATTTTCAGTAGTCTTCAGTGTCACATGATCCTTCAGAATTTTTAAAAGAACAACATTTATTTAAATAGAAAGTTTTGTAGCATAAATGTTAAAATGTCACGTTTGGTCAATTTAATAAAATGATTAATATCTTTTAAAAAAAACTTTCATTGCACTATAGTGTAGATCGTGACAAGTTAACAAAACAGCCACACTGAAATATGCCACACAAACTGTTGTGGTCAGACTAATGGCATGCGAGACATTGTAACAAATAAACATCAGCCACCCATTCTTAACGCTTTAAGGATACTTTAATTGCCAGATATATACAAACTGGAATAATAATGTCTTTTGGTGATTTTGAAAGGGCAGTATCTGTTCAACTTCATCCTAATGCCCTCTCCATGACTGAATCAGCCAAGTTCCTGAACACTAAATAGCCATTGTTGATTTGTAATTATTGGTGGTCAAGTTTATATATATATATATATATATATATATGTGTATATATATTGGTTATATTGGGGTATATTGGTTAATGTCATAAAGTTTGGAAGAAGCTGTTCCCATTCAGTCACTCACACCGAACATGACTGACTGAATGGGAATGGCTAGGTTAGAAATGTAACCCCAGGGAACATAGATGTTACGTCCCTCCTGCCACAGACCTGAAACACCGCTGAAGGGTCGGATCCCTGTCTCGGCTTCTCAGCAAAACATAAATGAGATGTGAGTGCCAGCTATGTTTATACCCGTATGTCTGGGTTGGAGTGCCTGGGCATGTATATATTGTTGGCCAATTTCCATTGGATCATTTATTTACCACTTGAAAGTGATTGTGCTCCCACATGAGACCCCAATACGTCATTTTTGTAATATTCTTTAATACTGATGTTGTGTTTCTATCTCTAAATGATATTAAATCTGAACTCTTTCTGTTAGACTGGCTGGGTTTCATTACGATGCCTGTCGCACAGGCCATCGGCCCCTCCAGCCCACAGTTCAGCATGACAGTCACACGGTGGTGCTAGATGAGCTCACTTTCAAGCACGTGGCAGAAGACTGTTCATCTGTCAAATCACAGCTGCTCAAACTCAAGAGTCTGCTGCAGGTACGACGCACACACACACAGCTGGATGAGTCATATTTGCACATAACTATGCAAACACATCTGTTAGCCCCTGAGTAGCTTTTAGTATGTGTGTAGTTGTAAAACAAAAAGAGTAAAAGAAAGGGATGAGTTGTAAACTTGAGAGATGCATATTCTGAATAAATTGCCATTTTATGTAGATGGATGATGGTGAGATTACTCCAGAGAGTTTGGATTCCAGTGAAGATGACAGCAGAACCAAGCAGGTCCATAACATCCCATAAACACCTACTGTACCTGAATACAGCTATTCAACTTGCAGTCCTAAAACCTGAAAAAGAAAATTAGAATTTTCAAGCCATGGGCTCCCTCAGGAATTTCTAATGTGTTTTTTATAAAAGTGTTTTTCAAATGCTGGATGCTTAATCTGGAAGAGACTTCTGCAGTTTGTTCAACTGCAAAAATGGTAAGGTCACATCTTAACAACAGCATCAAAGTTCATTTGTGACACGACCACAAAACCAGTCACATGGGTAATATTTTTGGAAATTGAGATTTATTCATCGCCTGAAAGCTGAATAAATAAGCCTTCCAATAAATATGTATGGTTTCGAAACATTGAGAAAATCGCCTTTTAAAGTTGTCAATGTTCGCGATTGTGCAGCGTTCTCTCGCAAAAAAAGGGAACGTTTTATATAGTTATGGTTGGACGAAAAATCGATAATTTTGACCCATACAATTTATTCTTGGCTATTGCCACAAATATACCTGTGCGACTTGTGACTGGTTTTGTGATCCAGGGTCACATATTTTAAGCAAGTTACTCCATAAGAACTAAAACTATAAGTACATGGGAATCCTCATATAGAAACTTGTGTTTTTAAAGTTTCAGAAGTAGAACAAAACCTTAATATATCTCGAGGAATGATTACCACAGAACTACTCAATTGCAAACTGCTATTCTAAGAAGCCATTAGTAATTCCTGAGGGAACATGTGGTGAATTAGCATTCTGTTTTGGCCTACAAATTGACGACAACAGCTCTATGCCCCGTTTTTAATTCCGTACGCATGCATTATTTATGTGTAGACAATATAGTTTCATATTATTTGTGTATGCATTTATCATTTGTTTTGTATTTGTGTGTCAGATGGAGGAACTGATGAAGGAGGTGGCGCATCTCAGGGAAGAGGTGAAAAATAAGGATAAAATCATCGCACGGCTCACTCATCAACAGCATCAAGAATCTGTGAGTCATCACCATTCCTGACACATTCAAACTGGCGCTCATTTTGACCATTTTGTATTGATTGAATATACATAATACATGAGTGGTTAATCAGAGCCTGCAGCGTCTGCTGGAAGATACTAGAGCCATGCTAACTCCATGTCTGCACGAATGAGATGAAATCAGGACGGGATGTTCTCAGAACAAACCCACATCTCATACTGTTCATTAACTTCACTGCTCCAAGCTCAAAAAAACAAAACAAATAAAAAAAACAGCAAATGGCACATCAACACATGCACTTTAACCTTTAATCCCAATTACTGTCACCTTTGGTGAGCAATTATATCATTAGTGATAATAAACTCACCTCTTTTGCATTACGCTGATTGCAAAGCAAAGATGAAAGCAAATGAGATTTCTTTACATTAGAACAAGAGTATGTGCTAAAGGTAAGCTTCAATATTACTTCTATATTCTATATCTTTATTTTTATTTTTTAATCAATTTCTCTCAACCAGCAATGCCCTAGAAAATACTTACCGCATTCTAGCATTGGAAGTTTTCGATTAAAATTATTTTTTTGAATGGTTGTCGATTCTAAGAAAATTAATAATAATTATTAATTATTTAATATTTATTATTCATATTTAGCTTAATTTATTATGATTTGTTAATAATAAAAATTATAAGCCATGCTTTTATCATAGTTTTTATGATTTCTTTGTCACATGTCAAAAATAAAACTAATCAATAATCAGTTCTTAATATCAGTTGCTGCTAAAAAATTATGAGCTGACATGAAAGTTTGGTGTAGTTGTTGGTCATAAAAACTGAACAATTTCTCTCCACTAGTAATGCCCTGGAAACTACTACCGTTTTGAATGGCCAAGACACTCAAAGTGTAAAAATCAAATTATTATTGCTTTAATTCTCTCTTTTTCAGCCGGTGAGATGTCATTGTCATCAGCTGAAGTCAGGAGCCAAAGGTGAAAGAAGAACACATCATGATAAATCCACTCAGACGGTATGGCGACCGCCCCATCATCATCCCGCTGTGAGTTATTTTTCACTCTCTGGCTAGAAACATGCATGGCAACTTGATCGCATCATGGAGGGACCCTAAACTCTCCCAAAATGTCAGTGTATTGTGACTGGTGTATCTGTGTGTGTCCTTGGTGAGCTGTCTGCCTTCTTTTTGTATTTCTTGTTTCTTTAAAACTCTCTAGGCTTTATAGCTTGCCAGTTGTTTACAAAAGGGGGAAGCAAATGTGTTGTCAGGGTGACAAATCAGACAACACATTCCTTCTGTTTTTTTTTTTCCTTTCCTCCAGCCTTACCTCCCTCTTGTTCGTTTTTCGTGGTGAAATAGCCCGACGGTCTCGCGGGACACCTTGAGCTGAGGCTCGTTTGCCGAGGTGCCGATTTGGCCAATTTGCAGCTGCTACGGGAAAACGGGTATCTACTACAGAGTGCAGAATGATTGTCATCTCCTATTTAAGAGAAGCCCCGCAGCACCCACTCCGGTGGTTTAGCTTTCAGACACCCAGCCTGGGATGTTCACCAGGGGACGTGTTCTTATTGAAGACCGGCACACAATCAGTAAAGCCAACAGCACACAGAGATAGACTGGAGTCAGGAGAGATTACAGGGAGGAGAGAGAGATGAGGGAGGTAACAAGAGATGGATGAGAATTTGAAAGTGGAAATGAGGAAGAGAGAGAAACAGAGTTATTGGGGACCGGGAACAAAAGGACTGGTGTTCAGTTTGCATGTTAGTGTTTGAAAACTAAAGGGATACTTACTTCACAGGTGTGTTTTCCATACCTGCATGAATTCCTTTATTCTGTGGTGGTAAGGCTGTAAGGCTAAATAAATTACAGAATTTTCCATTTTTAGGTTAACCACCCCTGATGTTAAAAGTTACATTTGCATGACTTCTTCATAAAACAAGTTATGAGTGACTCGTTATTAATTTCACAAAGCTGCAAACAATGTAAAAAAAAATGTATTGCATGTTAATCATAACACTAAAATATTTTTTATCCTTAACACAAGTGTGACATGTTCATGGATGGCTCCCTGGGTTCATAGACTTCTTTTGTTTTTCTTGTAACAACATTCCTCTTATCCATTTATAGACCTAACTCTTACCCTAATGCTAAACGGATAACTAAAATTAGCAGGCGGTGACTGGTTGATGGGATTTGTTCCTGTACCAGAAACAGCAAAGCAGGATGAATCTGATATCAGTTATAATGGAATAAATTGTAAACTCAAAATAATGCCACAGATTATTTCTACAAATGTGACCCTGGATCACAAAACAAGTCGCACGGGTATATTTGTGGCAATAGCCAACAATTGTATGGGTCAAAATTATAGATTTTTCTTTTATGCGAAATATAATTAGGATATCAAGTAAAGATCATGTTCCATGAAGATATTTTATAAATTTCCTAGTTTTTTAAATAGTTTTATCTTGTTCAAATATTGTCCTATCCTAACAAACAATACATCAATGGAAATTCATTCATTCATTCAGCATTCATGTGATGTAAATCTTAATTTAAAAAACTTAAACCCATGTGACTAGTTTTGTGGTCCAGGGTCACAACAAATGATTCTGTCAGTCCAAAAGTACAATTAGTCTCAAAGACATAAGTTCCCATTTATTGTACTTGCTTCTAAACTTTTCAAACCCGTATTGTTCAATTTCAGTGGAACTAAAACATGAATTCAAGTTTTTGCGAAGTTGGTTTAATAGACCTAGACATTTTTGCCTGGCCTGAGTTTTGCCAGCATGTACATTACGGTGCAAAAGTTTAGGGTCGGTAAGATTTGTTAATGTTTTTGAAGTCTCATGCTTGCAATAGCTGCAATTATTTGATATTTAAAAAAAATAATAATAAAAAAGTAAGATTCTAAAACACTAAAATAACTGTTTTCTGTTTCATTATATTTAAAAATGCAGTTTATTCCTGTGATGGCAAAGCGTAATTACTAACCATAATTGGATTGCAGTTGGTGACTTAGTGTTGTGCACTTGCTCCAAATGATCCTTCATATATTTTTGTTATTTTTTTTGGTCATGTCTACAGTATTTGGACAGACAGATGAACACTAGCTCAACTAGGCAGAAAAAAAGATAAGTGTTGCTCAAATATAACTGTGCATGCAAGCACACTCTTTAAATTAAAAAGGTAAACAAGTCTAGTTTTCTGTCCATAATGGAAAAGAGAGACTAGAGTCGTAGAGTTACTACAGTATATATGTAATATCACAAGGCTGCAAGACCATGCACACTTTCTGGGTATCAGGTCGTGTAATTTGTTTTGTTTGCCTTTTATATCTTAAAAAAATTCCCAAAGGTACCTCTATAGTATGCAATCAGTTTTCAAGATAAGGTTTGTAAGTTTACGTACATTACGGTTGTGCGTGACAAAATATTAGAGATAAAAATGTACATATAACCTAAGAACATTTGATTTCCTTAGAGTTTCGTTCAACAGGAAAAGAAAATATTATCTGTGAGATGCGCATGTGTTGGCTAGGAATATTGCATGCACGTATTTTTTCTTGTGGCTTATACATTCACGGCTTGTTCCTTGCTGTTATTTTAGTCTGATGTTCAGACATTGATGGTAGTTTGTCTTCTCAGAGGAGATGTGCGCCGTTTCTCTGTGTGATGTGCTTGCAAAAGAGTTTTTCTTTCTAAACTGTGTGTTTGTCTAGATTCACTGGGGTTTGTCTCTCTCCGCAACTGTGCGGGTGCCGTGTGTGTGTCACGGTTTTTCTATGTGTGTTGCAGGCTGTACCCACTCCTCTCCTCTCTCCCTGGCAGTGCCAGTACCAGGCTACACCTCGTGCCAGCATGCCTCAACGCCGACAAAGTGAGTCATTAACCCCCTGGCCTCTGACCCCGTTCCTTTGGCAATATGTTCAGCTTTCTTTCCTCACACTCACTCTTCATCTCTGCTCCCTTCTCTTTCATATGCTGTCTCCCTGTTGGTTTATAAATATAAATGCACAGTATAGTTACATCAGGGAGTGAGTCAGGGATGTGTAAGTGAGGAAACAGGGGGAGATGTGGTCTTCGAGAGATGAAAGAGAATGCGGTTTAAGAGGTTAGACAAAGTCAGCAATTCCCCGCTGGGCAGTTTTGAACTGTCTCTCAGGTCTAGGTGGGTCACTGCACTGGTTGGACCACATCTGCTGTTACACTGTGTGTGTTTTTGTGTAGATGCTTCAAGTCCAGTCTTCAGGCGTTTTTGTGCATGGATTTGCAATTAAATTAATTTTCTTGGCAATATTACATTTCCTGAATATTGAATATTTTTCTGAATATATTTGATAAATAATCATAGAGGTAGCTCTGCCTCAAACTCATGCCATTGACTGAGCTAGACGAAACAGAGTTTCAAAAGCCTATGGGAAATCAAACTTTTTAGGAAAGTTAACTTACAAATGACATTTTTTTTTATAATTGTCACTGCGCATTAACCTGGTATGGGCATGGAAGCCTATTTTTGTCTCGGAGTAAAAAAAAATATAATAATAATAATTGTTTTTTGTTTTTTTTAAAATAAGATAATAAATTAATAAATTGGATGTTGTGAGGAATGAAATTCATTTGTGAAAATCTCAAAATAATCAAAAATAAACATAAGATATTTACTCCTGTTCAGGGATAGTTCACCCAAAAATGAAAATTGAGTCATTATTTACTCACCCCCATGCTGTACCAACCCCATAAGACACAAATGAAGATATTTTTTATTAAATCTGAGAGCTGTATCACACCTCCATAGGCATCCTAAGGGATTGAAACTTATTCTCGTAGCTTGATAAACTTGTAGTTGAGCCACTGTAGTCACATGGAATATTTAAACTTTTTTTCTTTAATGACTTTCTGGGCCGTCAAGTTTCAATTCCTTAGGCTGCCTATAGTGGTAGTGATCCAGCTCTCAAATTTAATCAAAAATATCTTCATTTGTGTTCCGAAGATGAACAAAGGTCTTACGGGGTTGGTACAGCATGGGGGTGAGTAAATAATTACTAAATTTTAATTTTTGGGTAAACTAACCCTTTAAAGAAATTAATACTTTTATTGAGCAAGGATGCATTAAATTGTTTGAAAGTGAAAGTAAAGACATTTACAATGTTTCAAAATATTTCTATTTCAAATAAATTGAATCTTGGAAAAGATGCGTCTTGGTTTCCAAAAAAAAATGCAATACAATAATACAATTTTCAAAATTGATAATAATTGGAAATGTTTCCTGAACAGTAGATATTAGAATGATTTCTGAAGGATCATGTGACACTGAAGACTGGAGTAATGATGCTGAAAATTCAGCTGTCATCACAGGAATAAATTACATTTTAAAATGATGTTAGATTTAAAATTAAATTACAAAATGCGTTATAAGATTTAAGTTTTGGCTTGTAATGATATTAATATTTTTTATGGATTTTTGATAAAATAAATCCAACCTTGGTGAGCATCTAACCCGAAACCTTTGCACAGTAGTGCATATAATAATAGTAAGTGAGGATAGGAGCAGGCTTCACTCAATTTTAAAAACTCAAACTTTAAGAGTGCTGGCTTGGATGATTCAAATACGAAAAAGGAGAGAGGCAGCACTATGCATCTGTTCTTTTATTTTATTTGTACAGAAATTCATCTGTACAAATAAAATAAAATAATATATGCATATAGTGTGGCCTCACTCTCCTATTTTTTATATAATAATAGTAAAAATTCAATTTGCAGTTGTAACATCAGGCAGACAGGGAGCAAAGGAACAAACAGAGGTTAGAATAACAAAAACTGACAAAACGCAAAGGAAAACGGGGGTACTTATAAGGGCTACCATTACAACTAGAAACCCATGGGAATGATAATGGGCTAATAAACAGCAAAACTACAAGGGGACTATAAAAATGCAACAGGAAATATCCAAATAAATTGAACATAAAAGTCCAAATGGAAGACATAACAGCAGTAATTGTTTGCAGTAAATTATAGATATTGTAACTGTGTGCACATTTAATTTAGCAAGAATAGAGCTGTGATCATCTGAGAGAATGTGTTTTACATGGTTGTAAACATGACTGTAGTTATAGAGCAGATGTCAGGCTATGTTTAGTCTCTTCCCCAACAGACCTTCCTTCCTCTACTCTTCCTTTCTTCTCTTTCGGTTTTACGCCACTGCTTTGTCAGTTCTAGGCTATCTTATTTCCTTGTCCTCCTGTCTTTTCCCTTTCTCTTTCCCCTTCCTGTTTCCTGATTGGATGAACTTGTGCTCTGTGTTGTTTCTCCCCCTCTGCCTATCCGATAATACCTCGGGACAGAGGTGGAGCATCTTGTGCATTACTTCCGCGACACAGCGTGGTACAGTAACATCTACTAAAAGCTTCACCCTTTGCATGGTCACGTGACGTGAATGACCAATGCATGCTTGTTTGAGCTTTATTTTTAAAGCATGGATTCAAATTTTTTTCACACATACATGAGACTTGGCATGAGGTGTTTTTTTCCCCCCTTAATCTTTGGCCCCAACCTCATCTATTCCTCCGTGGTCTGTGACTGCTGTGGTTGTGTCAGATCTGTCTTTGCTGTAATACTAGAGCTACAGTGTATACTGGTATGTTCTGGGAGACTCACTGCTTCTCTCAGCCAGCTCCCAGAGACTTTATCCAAACCAACTTCAGTCTGCACAGGTGGACCAGGGTTTAAACATCTCAAACACTCGCACACAACCAGGGAATTAGCCCATGATGCAATTGTCCTTGGTATTGTGACTGCACAGGGAGATGCTGAACAGTTTTAGAGGACAATTAAAATAAAATGATCCAATAACTCCTTCGCGATTCACATTATAACCTCCACTTCTACAAACTCAGGATATTAAAAACCTTCTCTATTATCAAAATGGCCACATTTCATCAGCCAAATCTTCTAGTAAGATGAATGACTGAATTAGAGTCAGACTTTATTACAGCTCTGTCTGTTGTAATATCTAGCAGTCGTGTTACGAATGTTATCTTGAGAAGAGTCAGTTGATTCGCCATGCGCTTCTAGGTGCTTATTTGGGCTCAATAATAAAGATTATTTTCTTCAAGTCCAAAAGTTGGCATTTTCTTGGACCCCACCATCAAAGCTTATACATTTTTCTTTAAAGGGGTGGTAAAGTATGATTTCACTTTTCTAACTTTAGTTAGTGTTTAATTTTGCTGTTTGAGAATAAACAACATTATCAAAGTTACAACGCTCAAAGTTCAAAGCAAAGGAAGATATTTGCTTTTAAAGAAAAGGACTACAACAAACGGCTGGTAGGGACATCACCAACCCTAAAATATACATAAACCCCGCCCCCGGAACATGCAGTCCATGTTGAGGAGAGAAAAAGTTGTTGTATAAGAGTACATTTGTGAGTCAGCTCAAACTTTAGCATCCATCTTTTCACTTGCAATAGAAAGTCACTCTGTGTGCATCTCACAACCGTTCCTATATGAGTGATTTATAGATTACATGACAAAATATCCTAATAGAAGATAGTTAACTCCACATCAGCAACATACATTCATCAACTAACCATTCAGAGACGTCCTGTTGTATTCTACATGTTGTCACTTCTTCTTGAGTCTCTCCATCTTTGACTGACCCCATTTGAACATTAAAGGGAGAACAGTTTCTGTCATTTTAGTGTGTCTGCGTGAGAAAATCGCAGCTGCTAACACACTCCAGCTCTTGAAACCCCGCCCTCTGCAGCAGCTCATTTGCATTTAATGGGCCAGGGACAAAATGGTGCGTTTTTTTGAAAACCCTCAGGAAGTGACAACTTTAAAATGCTATATAAAAATATCTGTGGGGTATTTTGTGCTAAATCTTCCCATACACTCTGGGGACATCAGAGATGTATTTTACATCTTGTGAAAATGGCATTTTACCACCCCTTTAAAATCCTTTTTATTTTTTTGGTTCAGAAAAATATATTTCCATGTTTGATTCAACCAGGAAAGTTTTCTTTACAAGAAAAAGCTATTACTGAAACAATAGTTGTAATATGATATACGTTAATGAAACTTCGAAAGCTATGAATTCAAATATTTTTTTTTTTAGAAAACAGTGGCATACTGTACAGTGCAAAACATTACTCATTTATGATAGTCTTGCAAGCATCTGCACAAACCATGTTTGCAATTTTGACTATTTAAGGGCTAATAAATAAGGATTTCTTTTTCTAGACATTTAGGGCAAAAAGGTCAGATTTTAATTTACCCCACCACAACAAAAATGTCTTACTTTCAGAAACGTTTTAGTTGCCTTAGAAAAAGGCATTTTTCTTTCATTCCATTTAACAATTGAAAAAAATTATAAATAATTCACTAGGTTTAATAATTTATTAGGATTTATGATAGTCTTGCAAGCATCCTGCAAACCATTGTTGCAATTTTAACACATCCTCTTCTGTAGGGGTGTTCTAAAACCCCTATAAAAGACTTTGAACCAGTCCACAATGTCAGAGCAGCATAGAATCTGTTCGACATCTTTGTTTTTCATTTTACTGTCTTGTTGTTGCTGCTGCTGCTGTTTGTTTAGTGCTGCATGATTGGATTCCTTTGTTTTTATGACGTTAATATATTGTATTATACAACAGATATTTTCAACTTTAATTTATAATTAGATGTCATGAGACTTGTTCAAAGCTGATAAAAACACACATGTGATGAATTCGGTTGTTTCTAAATTTTCTATGTTGCTTGGCAACCCCAGAACTGCCTTTAGCCAGTATA